CTTTTGATAATAATTATGAGTGCGAAAAAGTTTTGTATATAGTTCCGAACGGGTCCCAAGCGAAGCCCCAACTGGTCCCAAATTACTCCCCAACTATTCCCGAACTCGTTCCCACCTAGCCCCGAACTGGTGCCCAACTAATCCTCTAATGCTCCTGAACAAGCCCCGTCTTTTAAGACATAAAAAATTTGTTCGCGCTTATAATTTGTTATGAAAAGACTTTTACAATATAAGTCTTAGAAAAAGTCTTTGCCTTAAAAATATTTATCTCAATGATAATTATTAGGAAAAAACTTTTATGATATAAGTCTTAAAATAAAAGTCTTTGAAGGCTTAAAAATAAAAACTATTTATTTCTCTGATAATTATTATGAAAGTACTTTTATAATATAAGGTAGAGCTGTCAAACTATCGACGATACTATCGATAGTATCGATAGTCTGGTCACTTGAAATAACTATCGATAGTTTTAGTACTATCGCCGCTATCGTTTCATTGATAGCGTATTCTCTTTCCTAGCGCTTTTGACATTTGCACGTATTGGTTCAAAGAGAACAAAAATGGGCAGCATTATTTCATGAACGAACGATTAAAATAAAGATCACCCAGGACGTTGTGCGAGAGAAAAGTATGTTTTTCGCAGTGACGTCATTTTTTCGCCACGGAATGAAACCATGTGTGTGAGAGAAACAACCGATTAAAAATGACGTTATCAACTATTATTTTTTTCTCAAATGCAATTTTAAATACGCGGTTGCCGCGCTGGGTGATCAGTTTAGTTGGTTCATGGCATTAGTTGCGTTCCTTATCTCCCAGAAATAGCCAGAAAAAGTCCGAAGTAGTCAGATTTAGTCCAAAAAGCGTTCCTTAACTCTAAAATAACAGCAAAAATGAGAGAGCAACACTCAGTGAGAATGACTCTCTTCAGTCCGAAGTAGTCAGATTTAGTCAGAAGAATTTTTGCTGGCAAAATCTTGAAAAGTGTCAAACTCAACTGAATTTAAATTAACGGAAATTAAATAATACGCGAAAAGTGAGAATAATGTAAAAAGTAAAAAAATTAATTGAAATTGGAAGGAAGCAAAAAAATAATTGATATAGTAAGTGTTTATTGTGCTTGTGCTTGAGTGAATGTGTTTTGTACATACATTTCTATTCTTGTTTGACGTTAGTTTTGTTGTTGCCATTCTTTGGACTAATAATTTGGATTTTGCGTTCCTTTACTTTTTCCTGTTATTCTCTTTTAGTGAGCGCATTTTGCTTACGCTCTGACATTTTGACACTTTTCAGATTTTAGTCAAAAAAGATAAGGAATGAACGTATTATTTCTAAAAGCGCAATTTTTTATTTTAAGCGTGGGAATAGCAGAGGTTACATTGACGTCTTAAGAGCGTGTCAGACCGGGCAATGCAATATATTTCAAAAGACTGTAAGATTGAGAAATTTCAGAAAGCAGTTGCATGAGCAGTGACACCTTGCATGTATGTATGTAAAGTGTCTTTCGCTTTTTGACTGTTTACACGGCGAATGAATTTCTAGCAATATTTCTCAATACTAAACTGCAACCGTGGGCCGCTAAAATAAACAAATTTATAAAAACAAGATAACGAAAAATAAATGGATTTAGAAAAACATATGAAATGGGTCGATACTATCGATAGTATCGATAGTCACCCTTAAGACTATCGTAAAACATCGATGGACTTGACTATCGATAGTTTGACAGCTCTAATATAAGGCCTTGTATAATAATTATAAATGACTCGAAAAATATTTATCTAAATATAATGATTATTGATTGAGTTTTATTTTTTACTCTTATAATAGTTGTCTCTGATTTTTAGTATGAAATAGAAGCAGGAAATAATGTTACTCATACGCCACATCGGACATTACCATTCTCGTACATACGCGTACATGGCAACGCGTACGTATGAGCAACTATTTCATAGCTCAAAGACTGGTTTTCACTATGTCATATTTTGACTCCAGAATTTAGCGACATATTTTGACACAACTTTATCTCCTTTTTTCATACCTTTGCCGATGATATTACGGCCAAAGCCTGGCAGATAGCCGATTTAGCAGCACATGTACACGACTAAAGATCTTTCCTGATCAAAATCAATCGATATACCACTCTTTAATCCCATTTGACCATGTGTTTTCACTTATTTGATGACAAATGCCGCTGAATTTGATATAGTGAAAACCAGCCTTTAGGTTAAATTGGTTGCCCCAGGCAAGGAAGACACTTGGACAATTAAGAGATGGTCATTTGTGATATTACGAAAAAACTGAACAGCTGATCCCTGAGAGCTAAATTTTAATTTAAGAAGCGCGAGCCGAAATTCGTCCATCTTAGCCTCGTGAAGGTTGGACAGTCTAAAAGAAAGTGTGGGGATGATTCCAACTGATCTTCTTCTTAACAGCTTACCGCGTGAATACCAATCGCACAATGGCCTGTCATAACTCTTATCACTAGCCTTTGAGAGGTAACATTTTTTTCGGCACTTTTATGTGCCTTGCGCTGTAAAAGGTATTTGAAAGTGCCTTATAAAAACATTTGCTGACGCAGAAAAACGTCTTATTTTCCTTTTAATTTTCTTTTTTTTCGGATTTTAGAGATTTTCGATTTTTTATCGATATTTACATCAGTTTTCTTATCAATTTTGCTATCAGTAATATTATCGATTTTTCTATAGAAATTTTGTTATCGATTATTTATCGATTTTGTTATCGATATTTTTATCGATTTTATAATAGGTTTTTCTACCAATATTATTATCGATTTTGCTATCGAAAATTTTTTTCGAATTTGTCTTCGACTTTGTTATCGATATTTTTATCGGTTTTGTTACCAATATTTTGTTGGATGTTGCTATCGATTTTGTTATAGATAGAGTATAAAGGTAAAAATAAAGATAAAGGAAAACAGAATAACATAAATGTAATTAAGACGAGCAGGTGTAGAGGTAGGAATCTAGATAGAAAAAAGACAAAAAATATAACCTTAAGCAAAATCAGATGTATGTATGTACATTAGACTGCATCACTCCCCATACAAAAACAATCGCTCCTGCCCCGATCAAAAATCTCATTATTACGATTCCGTTCAAAATTTTTTTAAATTTTTTAAAAATATTTTTATGCAAATTTTTTAAGCTTAAACCGTTTGGTCATTTGAAGGGAATTTTTCAAAAAAAGGAAACTTTAAGAAACTATTTTTATTTATAAAAAACTCCATTTTTGGAAGTATTTTCAAATCGGTTAGCTCACTTAAATCTTAATGCTTCTCCGAAATATTTTGGTGGACGTCTTAAAATATAATAGATTTTATAATTCCAATGAAAACACAGTACTGATTTTTTTTTTGTGTATGGGGAGTAGAGTGGTCCAAAAAAATAAAGTCGGAATTTTAATGCTGGCACACCCTAGGATTGATCTATATCGAAAAAGATATAACCCTATTTTTTTATTTTGAAATCAAAAAATATTTAGGGAGTGCTCAAAGCGCTCAAAGTTTTCTATGTATATTATATGGAGAAAAAACAATTTTTCGTAGAAATGGAGATTTTTTTACATACATTTTTGGACCACTTTAATGGGGAGTGACGCAGTCTAATGTATATACACCGTTAATTGTTTCTTAAACGCATGCGGGCGCAGAATAATCTACAATAACTAATATCCATTTACTCAAGCAGTCAGTTAAATGCACTCAAAGTACTTAAGACTATTGGGTGGTGAGAAAATCCTTTAAGACCTATAACACCTTACCCCATTTCGAGCTCCGTCAGCTTTGCCGGCAATGTCAACCCCCTTTATACTCAACGCAAACCACTTTTATACTAAATATACATTTTCGCTCTCTAAATACTCTATCTTCTACATTTTTATCTGTGTATTTCTTTTATTCTACGAAGCTTAAAGTCCCTTTTTATCTCTAGCTAGTGCAACATAAACCAGAAGCAGCATCAGCGAAATTGAAAGCATTATTCATGGTGCTCGTCGTTGCTCTTGCACTAACTGCCAACTATCGAAACACTTGATACCCGCAGAAAAGCAACGCATCGCGACGAGGAGCATTTAAAAGGCATTTGCCACCCCTCGCTAACGCATTTCCTCTTCTATCCACCTCAGCTCATGTATGTATGTATGAATTTTGCATAGCTTAATAACTGAGCAGCAAGTCAATTTGATTCCTCTTACACAACAACTTCCCCTCCTCGGCTTTTAGGTGCACCCAAAATGTGCATAGTACTTTATGGGCTTTCTGCTGCTGAATCGCCCGCCACCCATCGTGTGGCGTGCAGCATGTGGAAAATGGCATCTGAAGCAAGTTTTCTGCATCCCAAAACACTTCAGCGATATTTCAATGTGCATGGCGAAATGCAAAAGGGGTGAAATGAGGATATCTCAACGAGTGAAAGTGTATAGCGAAAGATATTATTGAAGGAGGTGAAATTATCGGGCATTTGTAGTATGGAAATACGTAAATTCCTTAATGAAAGCTTTTCGATGGCAGTCAAACTATGTATAAGTATATTATGGCGGATAAATTTTTTTCGACTATGGGCGTATAGCATAGATGGATTCTACGTGTAATTATAAGCAAATTTGCTGAATAAACCACTGGTCTGAAATCAATTTGGAGTTTTCCAAATTGCGAAAATAGGTTTCTTTTACTCAGCATTTTGCGGTAGTGTCGTAAAGAAATTTACACATTTTCTTACGTGTTAAAAAAAAACCGTATATTTTACTTATCCTTGAAAAATTTTTTTCATGCAACTATTCAATACAACTACTTGCATACACATGTATGTAGGTATGTACATTGGACTGCATCACCAAAAAAGTTGCGTGTTTTCCACCGGAATTACAAAATCTTTTATATATGAAGACGTGCACAAAAATATTTCGGAAAAATATTAAGATTTACGTGAGCTGGACCGATTTTAAAATACTTTCAAAAACAAAGTTTTTATGCATAAAAAAAGTTTGTTAAAGAACTTTTTGAAAACAATTTCCTCAAATGACAAAGCATTTTAAGCTTTCAAAAATCTACATAAAATATTTAAAAATCTTTTCAACGGAGTCGTAGTAATGAGATTTTTGTTGCTGTTTTTTAACTTTTTTCAAAGATTGGTTCAAGAAAACCTTGAATAACTGGGCCAAAGCAACTTCGATTTAGACTTATGAGGTATCAGTGGAAAGGTATTTTCACACTCTTTTTATTTATGTGCATTTCAAACTTCGTACAAAAATAATGAAAATTCAGTGATTAGTGAATCGCGTTGATTTTTAATAATTATTTTGGCCGAAGGTGCGAGGCATTTTCTCCCGTACAAAGGAAATATCCATTTTTTTTTTTTTATTCTGAATATAAAGTTAAGGCAAATTTAAATTTTGTTGAATTTTGATAATTTTTGTACGAAGTTTAAAATGTGGATTTATGTGGCGCTGTGGCGAAAAGCTGTAGCAAGTATAAAATGAATAATACGAGACTCTCTAATTTTTCTACTGAGTATCTAACTTAATCTCGTTTTCTAGCTTGGCAGCACTGCCGAATAAAGTTCGAATGAACATAAGACATCGCGGCGAAATGGCGAACTACAACTAGATCAGTAATGCTCATAGAGGGCTTTTACTCTATGCGCGCTCGTATAAAATCTAGACAAGGTGTTAAAGAGTTCTGCCCGCGGGCACTGTTTTGAGCATCACTGATGTCAATGCAAACATCAATGATATGTAAAAGTAACACGGAAGATTAACATTAACATTAAGATTAAGATTAGGATTTAGACTAAGATTAGTATTAATAAAAGAGTAAGATTAAGATTAATAATAAGAATAAGATTAAGAATGGGATTGGGATATGAAATGAGATTACGAATAAGATTAAGATTAACATTAAGATTAAGATTAATTGATTGAGATTGGGATTGATATTGAGATTAAGATCGTTATTGAGATTGAGATTACCATTACATAAGCATTCAAATAATTGCTCATTTTTAAGCAGAAAAACACAGAGGGTAATATTGAGAAGTTTGACTTCAGTCGCACAACTTTTTTCCATTTTTTATGCTGGATCACCCACATATTAAAGCACTTTTTTTAACTAAAGTTAAGCTAATGCCCTATTGATGATTCTTACTTTCGTGCTTTAAATTAAATAAGTTTTCTCTTAGCTATCGAGTTTTGAACCGAAGCTAAGACTACGCACGTCCGTCTAGCATAACTTCTCGCGCCAGTAATCCCACATACATACATACATATATATCTGCATATGAACAAACTTGTAATTACATCCTTAAGTATATGTTCATGCGTTTGTAGAACATATTTAAAATTTTTCTTAAATTTATTTGGAGCGGAAAAAGCCAACTGGTGATAAAATAAGTATTCGCACAGATTTTCATTTATGAGTGCAAGGACCATGACTACGAGACCTAGTTTATGGAAAAAATTGCAGCAAAATGGTAAAATCGCGCTGCTGCTACTGAAGGTGGTAGACTTTGTGAGGCGCTGTAAAAAGGTACGTGAATACATATTCCACAACCAGCACAGGTAGAAAAAAGTGACTAGAGCAAAGCTTGAATCCTACATAAATACTACATAAATATTGAAGCTGAGTGCGCATTTGCTTACCTTTAACCTTAGCATTTTATTTTTTTTTCAACTAACTAACTCACTTGTTGATATTTTCCGCTACGTTTACTTACAATCAGTTACAGTTACTTTGCTTAGCTTCGATGCGTATCTAATGCCGGTCTTGGCTTTGCTGCAAAATTCGAGCATTGTAAATTATTTGAAAATGGTTGTCATTAATTTTATGCCTACTACGTAGTATGTATTAAGCGAACCTTAACGCATCGTATGTAAATACAGTATACACACCTACGCATAGTAGTATATCGTTGGCTTAGTTCGCAAACGTGCTAAGTCCATTTTTTTTCAGGAGGGACAAAAAACCGTCTAACTTTTTTTGTTTTCAATATTTTCTAATCTGTAAATGCAGTTTTATTCCTTAGTTCGTCTTATTTTAGTACCAATAATCGGCCAATTTCCAAATAAAGCTGTTGCAGACTTATAGGCTCTTTTAGGACTTACCACATTTTCTCTTTAAGATTTTATTCTTTTAATGTGGACTTAGCACATTTTCTATCNGTCATTCCATAAAATATTTACACCTCAAAATTTTTTTTTTTGGGTGAAATATATTTTATTACATTCTTTATCGAAAAAAAAAGAAGACATCTATTTTTATTTAGTCGTAATATTGGAAAATCTCCAAAAAAAAATTCCCGAAACTATTTGTCGGAGAAAATCAGTTAAGGTATCAAAATGTGCGTAATTACATCGGCTTTCCATGAGAGTGTGAGATAGATTAAAATAAAAAAATTGTTTGCATTAAAAAATCTACTTTTTTTATTTTTTATTTTTTTATTAACTTCATCATGTTTGATTTTTATTTTTTTCAACCTGAATAGTTGTCAAACTTTATGGAGTAAAAATTTGAGAATGGAAACACCAAAACTGTAGGATTTACGAGTTTTTTCATACCCGCGTACATAAAGTTTATACAAAATTTTTTTTTATCTATTTCACACTCTCAGGGAAAGCCGAGGTAGTTACGTACAGTTTGATACCTTAACTTATTTTCTCCAGCAAATAGTTTATTAACTGCAGACAATTGAAAAAAGATACTTCTCCGGGAGTTCAAAATTTCGGGAATTTTTTTTCCAGATTTTTGAATATCATAACGAAATAAAATAATAGGTGTCTTATTTTTTTCGATAAAGAATTTAAAAAAATATATTTCACCCCAAAAAAAAATATTGAGGTGTAAATATTTTATGGAATGACCCATATATGTATGTTACTAAGTGTGAGTTTATGTGTTGCTAAAGCATTAAGCATCTTTACGTCAAAGTCACTTAGAGGCAAATTTTTCTTTTCACATCAGCTTACTGCTACATATGTATGTCGGTAGATACATCTGCATGCATAAGTATGTATATGTACATATCCTTACACTTACCTAAGCAAGTTGTATGTCCCCGCACGCAATCCTCATAAATAGCTGCATAAAAACGCGCGTCGCTTTACGTAAGGATGCGCTTTTATGCGTATTTTTATGTACATAGGCTTTTTGACCTTTAACGCGCCACAGATATTTTGCGTGAATATATGTATATTTATACCCGAGCGCACTCGTGCACAGGGGTATTATAACTTTATACGCATAACCTACACTTTTACGCCAGCTTCATTTAATTTCGCTATTTTTAGTTTTTATAACATATATGGATGGATTAATTGATAACACCGAGTTGATTAGTACCAATTCATCAAGTTTTCGAGTATCTCGATTTTTACCATTCCTCAGCTTTTTTGGCTAAGTAAAACATTTAAAACATGATTTAACTTTCCCGCAGTATAATGATGTGGGTATCAAGCGAAAGATGAAAGTCGCAGCAATCGAACAAAAACCCCATTTTGTTTGTGAAATGTTTCTGAAGAAAAAATTACAGAAAATTTTATTTCAAAATGAATCCTTAAGGAAAAAATCAAATATGGCCAGAAACACATTTGTTATGTATTTTAATAACCACCATTTTTCGCCCTAATCCAAAATTACAAAAAAAAAATTAATAAATTAAAAAAAAAATACCAGAAAGTTTTATTTTAAAATTTTCCTTGAATATCTTTGGGGAAAATCCAAACATTTCAGCACACAAAAGAATGCACTTAATAGCTGTATTTAAGTTAATTTTTAAATTTTTCATTTAATATTCTTGGGGAAAAGCCAAATATTTCCGATCACAAAAAAAATGCATTTTAGTACCTACAATTTTTCAATCTGCAACAACATTAAAAAATATATTATCGATAAATATATGAGACATGTATCGATAAATATTTTGATAATGAATGCATGTTACGGGTATGAATGTTTGTACACTCAAGTTTTGCATTCTTGGTTTTATTTAAATATTTTTTGTTATCACGTTTGTTCATTTTTCGTACGAGTCATTTCAGCCTCATGTCACACATTACCTTCACTCATGCTTATAACCAATTTCCTTCTTAATTTTAAGCCCATCATGTTTCACATGATTTTCATGTGAACTTAACCCATCAATTTTTAAAGCATCGCCTCATATTTATGACCCATGAGTATTAATACTTTTACACATAAAAATGTAAAATTATGACATTTTAAAAGGGATTTTGCATTTTTTATGTTTACGAATGTATACTTTTTATTTGATACTTTTACTTTGCACTTAATTTGTGAAGCCACAAAACAAGCATGCATTTACATATATGTACATATATACTTAATATGCCTACCCAGTATTTACTGAATTCGAATTTCTTGGTAGGTAAACAGATACTTCTTAATGCATCGCAATATTTTAATGACATTTTTAAGAGAATTTGATGAGCTTCAATTGCGTGACACCTACATATGAACGTATATTTGGTACATACATATACATACATATGGGTGTATGGCAGATGGTAGCCTTCTTGGAATGATCTCTGCGAAATACACAAACTCTTAATGATCTGCCATACGATACGTAATAATAACATTGATGCACAAAAAATAGATTAATAAAAGTTAAATGAAAATGAAAGGGTTATTTTATACCTACATACATATAACCTGTAACTAATCCACATTATTAAAATAATTCATGCAGTCTAAGTTTTTTTGCAACAGCATTTAAGTAAAATTTAATTAAAAACTGTATTTAATAAAGAAAAATGAATAATCTATTAATTTTATTTAGGATTTTCGGGAATATTGAGCATCAGGTATATCTCTTTTTTGTGTCCAACAGTAGTCAGCTAACATATTTAGACTCCATTTTCTATGTTATGCCGTGTTCGTCGCTAACGGCACCCCAAATTTTCAGGCAAAAATTTAAATGTGAGTGTAAAAGTTTAACTTGAGCGACATATTGCATCCCATACTCTTGTAGACTGTTAAAAGGTTGCTGACCATAGCTTTCATAGTTTTCGGTTTCCAAAAAAATTACGAACAACATTTCGAAAACATGTCCATGCGGGCTTTTCGTTTGGATTAAGTTTTTCTTCAAACTGTTCCTCTAATTTGTGGTCCTACAAGATTTCCTCTTTAATTTTGGGATCGCTGATTTTTTAGAAGTTTTGTTTTTGCTGTTTTTTTTTACTACGACATTGACTTGTAACAGTTAGTTGACCGCAAATGTAACAAAATTTATCAGGATGATTTAAATACACTGTGGGCATCTTCTTACGATGTGTAGAAACAGCAATCAAAAAAAATACCGTTTTAATGTCAATTAGAATTTAACGTTAATTTATCAGAAGCACACTTTGGTAAGCAAAATACGCGGAATCATTTCAGTAAATTTTTAAGGAAAACTTATAGTACTTTAATATTTCATATAGCTTTAGCATAATTCAAATAAATTAGACTTTTCAGTTGAATTTGACCTTTTAAACTGGTGGCAACCATCGTACCTATAGTTTATATATAAAACGTTGTAAAACCTATTTCGTCCTATTTTTCAGCCTATTTTTTAGCATATTTGAATTTAACTTATTAAATAGGTGGCAACCTGCAAAAATATTCTAAATTTTCAAACTAAAGATTTCTTAAAACTCTTTCGTTCGACACCCAGATTTTAGTCTTGCATGCGACTTATGTCTACTTTAACTAGATTCGACTTTTCAAACAGGTGGCATCACTTATCAAAATTATTTTCCAACGAAAACTTTCTTTAATCCCCTTAGTCTGTCATTGCTATACATATTTCAATTAACTGATGCATTCAGCTGAATTTAACTTTTCAAATAGGTGGCAACCCTCGTACGCATAGTTTAGAAACTACGGTTTTTCAAACCCATTTCGATTGCTACCTATCTCTTAATACCTAATTTAACTTATTCATTAATTCGAATTTAACCCTCCTAATACACCTAAAAAAATATTCCACATACTCAAACTAAAGGTTTCCTAACACTATCGTTTGACACACACTTCTTAATATTTCTTATAACTTGTGTATAATTTAATTTAATTCGATTTTTTAAACCGTTGACAACATTCTTCAAAATATTTTGAAACTACAACCTTTTTAAACCGCTTTCGCCGGACACCCATACTGTGGTACATATTTTAATTACCTAATTCCCTCAATTCAGGTGGAATTGTAATAATAAATTTAACTTATTAAATAGCTTGAATTCAATTTTTTAATAGGTGGCAGCTCTTTTCAATAAAATAAAATCTCACTTTTGGAAATCGAGCGACTTCAAATAGACAGTAAGAAAATAAAGAACCAAAATTTCACAAAATTGTCTTATTGTGGAATTATGCAGATTTGACTCATATAGTAGATATATATTTTTTTGAGAAACTAAGAAAACAATCACAAATCCTTAAAGCATCCAAATTTATTTCGCAAAATAATTTCCAAAAATTTCATAAGCAATAATACTTAATAGTACTTAAGCCAGAAATTCATTTGATGTTGATTGGTTCAAACGCATTTTGTTCGCCGACACAGCATTCGCTCTACTCAACAACAACCAGCAAATATTCGTATACATACATGCATCTGCAAAGCTACGTGAGTCCATAATACGAGCAGCATCTTAATTGCACTTCCTTTTGCTAATTTTTCATATTTTCTCTGCTTAATGCTTTTGGCCTTTTACTTCATTCACTTCAGAGAATATTAAGTCTGCTCAGGTCAGGTTGCTGCGGTTTTATTAAAAACCTGCGCGCTGCGCAAAAGTATAAAACCGAAAGAGATTAGAGGTGGGTAACTCAACTCAGAGTTGAGTTATTGAGTTGATTCCTATAAGTGAGTCGGTAACTCAGACTCCCTGTCCAAAAAAAATGTAACTCAGTAACTCAGTTGATGCCGTAGGGCTCACATGAATCAATTGAATCATAGTGGCTCATATTTGTCCATATAACTCTCTCGCTTCGCCACAGTGTTTAGCATGGCAAAGTCTTGCATTTTGTTTTTGCACGAGGCGAATTTATACAAGGTGGTGGCAAGAATACAACAACAACAACCACATGTATTTTGTATTGCGGGTGTTATGTCAAATCTCACAAATTCTTATAATTTCGTTTTTTTTTAGTTTTTCTCGAAATATGTATGTATGTAAGATATATAAAGATGTGCATATCAAATCAATTGCCTTTCCAACCATATCCACATTTTGAAATTCGGTACAATAGGTTTCGAAATATAAGCTTTTGAAAATATTGAAAATTCCACCTTTACCCTCCCCCTAGCACCGCCCTATTAATTTGCACACAAAAAAAATTACACCTTTCAAATCAGTAGAAAGGAGCTGACCACGCCCACTTTAAAGTTTTGTTTTATCTCAACGGCCGCTATACCGCATCTATGCCTCAAAACGAGTCTACGATACGAATGAGTGTAACATACAAAGAGTCAAATGAGTTAGTTGAATGAGCTGACTCCTTAAAGTGAGTTGGAGTCATTGAGTCAACTCCTATAAATTTGCTGAGTTACCCACCCTTAAAAGAGATGCCTGTATAAAATGTTTAAGGTTGCGCTGTTTAATGGGCAACTTGAGAAAACTAAAAATTAAAAACTCTTAAGATACTGAAATTTCACACTGTAAGTGTTTATATATGATTTAAGGCTTTGCGTACTTTAAATGATCTAATCATGAGTGTGTTTACGTACCTTTTGCAGGCCTTTCAGTTTAAGAAACAGCATTGTTTGTCGTGGCGTATACGCAATATTCTAACATTGTTTTTCTTCTTATTATGGAAATTATGCTTAAAAGGTTAAGATAAGTGCAAAGTTTCGCAAAAGTTTTTGTTAATTTTTAAATAAAAAAAATAAATATGGTACTGGTATTTACTCTGGTGCTAACATTTTGGTGAACGTTTAACTTCTAATACAGTGCCAGGGAGCTGGTAAATATGTGGGACATGTGGATTTTAACTGGCACTGTTCTAAAAGAAAGGTAAAATTAATTTAATTTTAATAAAATGAAATAAAATAAAATATAAAAAAAATTAAATTATTGTAGTATTATTGAAAAATAAAACCGGCAACTGGAGGTTATGTGTCGACTACCGCCAGCTAACCCCTCCCGGACCAAGGGAAACATGTTTACCAAAGAGTCCTGCGCTCATAAGGATATTGCGTGCATTTTGGGTTTCTGTATTTAAGTTTTTATCACTCAAACTTACAGTTTAAGTAAAAAAAACCATTAAAAACTTGGTAACAAATATTTCCCTTTTTTATTTCAAGATTTTTAGAAAAAATAATTTTTAAGAAAAAATCTGATTGATTAGAAAAAACGATTTTCTAACGAAACGAAATGAGTGATTTTTTCAGTCTCACCCCTTCAATCGCTAGTACCACGGTCTCAGATATCACATACAATTTTTGATCCCGATTGGAGTCGGTTAAGGCATGTCGCAATGGGGTCCAAAACCAGATGCTCCATGGAGACTCAAAAAATTAATTTTTTTTTTTCATTTAATACCCAAAATCGATACAACTAAAGTCGAAGATATCACATACAAATTTTGGTCCCAATTGGAATCGGTTAAGGCGTCTTCATAGGGTATTCTGAATTTCGACCCCTGTGCGCCACGCCGCTACCGACTCCAACATTTATATGTGATATCTTCGACTATAGTAGCATCGACGTAGGGGTTGAGGCTTAGAAAATCTGATTTGTATTCCTATATTTAAGTACCACCCTAATGCACATATGTACATACATATGTATGTATGTATATGTATTTATGTTCCTGCAAAGAACTTGCAAAAAAGTTCTGCTTCCACCTTATATCCCACAGATGCCTCCATTAGCTGTATTACGGCGCAGAACCTTTGTCTTCAGCGCCACCTACCAAAATTACCAGGTTCTTACGACAGGGTGCTAAAATAATTCATATTTGCTGTGTTTCCGTGGTCAATGATCAGGATCCGGATAAAAAATTTGCACGCAAATGCAACAAAGACGATATGATCCTGATAGAGATCTGGTTCAATTTATGATCCGCTCTTCTTGGTTGTCTGAAATAAATTTCCTTTCTGCTAAATATTTGTTTAAATAAATATTATTTCGTTTAAATGTACATTTCCCATTTAGTGAGTTCATTTTTATAATCTCGTCTTCTTCGTCCTAGTAGTATAAAATTAGTGCTGCCAACTCCAATAAGAATGATCCAGGCCGTTTCCGTGAGAAATGATCGAAATTCTGAGCTGGATAACCCAAATAAACTCAATTATTATTTCTTTCTTCTATACTAACACTAAAGCCAAAAAAAAAGATATATATTACAATAACTTTATAATAGCTAGTCTAGTTTAAGAACGTGAAAACTTTCTTATTACAAATTATTTATTTGAATTTTAATTCTAACGACTTTCACTTCATGAAAAATCCGCTTGTGACGCCCTGTCTTTCACACTGCTTCGAGACTCGTCAAATGTCACTTTGTGGTTGCTTTCTAGTGATGCCATACTGCCATAGTGCACCCGCCATTTTAAATTTTAAGTTAAATAAGAGATTTTGAGCAGGAAATTCCTTATACTTCGTTAATCATTCAATTACGTCCTAGTCTTTCCAGCTTTTCATTCAGTACATCACCAAAATAACGTTTTTAACATAACCTCGTATTTCATAACTGTTTTTACACAGCCGATACGGCATCATTTCATTTCAAACCTCACCACGAGAGCCGCACACACACCTTCTCCTTGACGTTTTTGACAGCTCACGTAAAAGAAGATGAAATCTTCGAACATATTTTTGTGATAGTTTTTGTAAGGATTTTTTGGTTAAATTATACCAATTCTTATATTAAATCAAGAAATACATATGTATTTTCCACGGCAAGTGTAAACTACTTGCCAAAGTTTACGGAATATATCAGTGAAACGTAATTGAAAAACAGGCGGTGCAGAAGACGGCCCAGAGCGCTGTGTGCTAGCAGAGAGTGGTGTGTTGCGTGCTGTGTGCCGACTTTGCATGCGGCTGCTGCCAGAAGAATCTCAACCACAAGCAGCTGTCAAACGGAGGCGGAAAATTCTCGCACAAATTGTGGGTGAAACAACGGCATGCACCTGCGAATGTCAGCACCTCAAAAGTTTGTAAGGATTCAAAGCTATAATTTGGTTGGCACTACCTTTCGGTAGTGAGCAATATCGCCCAAGCGTTTATTTTATTAGTGGTTTCGCAATATATTATTCTTCGCATTGGTCCCAAAACTACTCTCCTTGATAACAACACCAACTGCCAGCTAAAGCTGCCGCCCGAATTGTCGCCAACATGGATGTTTACGATGTTAGCGATGATCTTGTCAAGAAGCTGAACGATTGGAAGCTAATTGGCATCATATCAGGCAAATTTAATGAACTGAAGGAGAACTATTCAAAAGTTAACTTTGTGGAGCACGTATTGATCGACTTTAAATATATTGACAAAATTCTATTGAATGCTAAACTGCGCGAGGAAAAGTGCAATAAAAAGAGTTCCGAATATCGTATGTTAGGCAATGAGCAGTTCTCTCTTAAAAACCGCAAATATTTTCAGGTAAAATAAAAATGTTCGATTCCTTTAATATATGTTTACTAACATCAATTTTCCAGGCTTTGGAGCTATATAATAAAAGCATTTGCTACTCAGAACCTGGTTCAGAGAATCTCTCCATCGGATATGCTAATCGTTCAGCGGTACTCTTCGAATGGAAACGCTTTCGAGAATGTCTGGTCAATATCGAATTAGCACGTAAAGCAAGCTATCCAGCGCGTCTAATGCATAAACTTGATAAACGCGAAAAGGACTGTCGCCAATTGCTGACTACGCAACCGCCCGATGTGCAGCCATTCGATTTTCAAATGAACTTTGAACCGCACCATCAAGTACCCAACATCGCCGATTGTCTCGAATTGCACTACACTGAGGAAGAAGGTCGGTTTATCTCCACCAATCGTGATCTAGTTGTAGGCGATCTTGTAGCCACCGAAGAACCATTTTGCTCGACACTCTTGCCACCGATGCGGTATATACGATGTGCCACCTGCAAAGAGGAAAATTACCTATCACTAATACCGTGTGAGAGTTGTTGCTCTGTGATGTTCTGTTCGGAGGAATGTCGCGAACGTGCTTCAGCCACTTTTCACAAATATGAATGTCCTATTATTGATTTGCTGCATAAGATGTTCAATAAAATCCATGGTATTGCGTTGCGCGTCTGTCTATCGGCAATCGAGCTCTTCCCAACCTTTGAAGAGCTAATGGCCTTCTGCGAAGATCCTGAAAATCAAAATAAATCTGCATTCGACTTGGACTATACGAATTTTACGCCACGCGAACACTATCGTGCCATACATGGCCTAGTGACGAATCAGCATTTGCGTTCCGTATCGGATCTATTTCAACGTTCCGTAGTATGCGCTGTACTGAAGCATTTTGTAATCGAGCATACGCCATTGAAAGAGTTTCTCGGCGGTGAAGAGGGTGAAAATTTCTTTACAGAACTATTATTCCGACACCTCCAAACATCACCATCCAACATGCACGGCATCGATTTGGTGGAGCAAGTTAACGAGACGAAAGACGATACAACGCATTCGTCTGGCGCATTCGCCTTTCTATCGCTACTGAATCATTCATGTGCGCCAAATACACTGCGTGTATATCAAGGCACAAAGGCATATCTATTTGTCTTCCGTCCAATACCTGCTGGCGGCGTGCTGTACGACACCTATGGGTAAGTCATTTAGGCTTTGTGTTTTAAATGTATGCATTTAAATTATTGCATTTATTTTAACACTCCTCTGCAGTGCACACTTCGCTATTTTCACAAAAGCGCAACGCATCGAGACACTATCTATGCAGTATCGTTTCACCTGTAAATGCGAAGCCTGCGAAAATGACTATCCCAACTATTGTAAACTGCAACCAAAATTGTTTGTACCCTTTGTGAATGACGAGACAGACATGAAGAGTCTGGTTAAATATGATTACGATTTTGCATTGGACAATTATCGTAAATACTGTGAATTCCTGACGCAACATGCGAATGCCTATCCCTGCGCCCAAATTAGTTCAGCCGAAGAGTGCTTGAAGATGGCGTTACACATACTCGTTGACGCGGTGCCGCTAAAAGCTAAAATGTAAAATGCTAATTGCCACCAGAAACACACATACACACGCGTGCACGCTACTTTCGTATGCTAACATTTTTTCGAAAGCAAAAATAAAACTTCGTTTTTTTTAAGGAACCATATATTTTGAACATAATAATACACATGCGCATAAACACAGTATAAACGATGATCTGTTGCCATAAAGTAAATCGATGTGGCTAAAATGGTTTGAATATCTCACTCAAGTGTTGGCTTTAATAATGTAACTTTTTTTAAGATTTAAAACTAGGATGAAAGTAACACATGCTAGAATGAGGCGAAAACTGTGGAATACTTCACAAATAATTTAATGCTCAAAGTGCATAAGATTGTATAACAACCAACACCACAGTGGTGCTCAGCTGAACGCCGATTCGGCGAAGCCTCACGAGAATAGGCGCATAGAAATCATATCCAATTGTAAAAAAAAACAAGAAAAACTAAAATTTTTCACTTTCATACCCATAAACGTATGTATTTGTATACCATTGAATGTATGTATGTGAACAACTAAAATTTTGATTGTCTTTAAGGTGAAAATGTACTACTTTTTAGCGCCAGTTTACTATTTAACGCCAACCAACACCACAAATGTTTCAGTTATTCTGTAGCCTACACTAGATGAAGATTTTTTTGCAGCCACAAATGAGTTGAAAAAGCTTTTTGTGTATATTTTCTATGCCGTTAATTCAAAAAACCATTGACTACTTCGCACAAGTAAAAAACAAAACGTACATATATTTTCTCTTGTATAAGAATAAAGACTAATAATATCAAGTATTAAAGTGGGAAGAGATTTGTGTTTGCGAAAGAATAAAACATAAATGTATGTATAATTTATTGAAAACATTTAATTTGCATATAAAGTATTTAAAAAGTTGTACTATGTATGTGCTTTTCATTTTATTTTTTGGATAAATACAATTACAAATTTGTATGACTACCAAAATCATTGCAACAAGTAAAGTTGGAATTCGCTACATAAGTTTTAAGTCAGAACGTTGTAACCGTTTTCATTTCTTTGGATTGTATAAAAGCGATAATCAACAGTGTTGCGTACGCATATACATTTTGAATCGTATTTAAACCGAACTGAAGTTTGTATTGTTTTCAACTTATACAAAATAACTCATAATTAATGATCGTACTCTTCGTGAAAAAGTAAACGGCTCTCAAAACCATAGACACTGGAAAAGTTCTAAACTATTTAAAAAATTATTAATTCCTGGAAAATTATAAACTTTCGAAAGGATTGAATAACTTAGCTTAATCTATTTGAGACTTGTTCTACAGTGCGACTGAAAATAGACACAAAAAGTTTCTTATTATTTTGTATTTAAATCGTTTAAAAAACAACACAAAAATAAATTTGCTTTATACTTAAATTTTCTTAAAATTTACGTAAGATAGCTCAGTGGGAGCGCTATATATTTTATTTTCTTTATTTTTCTCAGCTCATGTAAATTCTTATTTATTATTCAAAAGCATTTTATTGTATGTAAACGCAGTTGAAGAGATATTAAAAACAAAAAACCTAAACAGGAAACCAACAACACTAACTTCACAAAGCAAACCCAAATGAAAACAAAAAATAAAAATAAAATTTATTTTAATAGATGAAACTAACAGCGCATAAATGTTATTTTTTACTCACAAATATGCTACTAATGAAGGTGTAACTTTTTTTTACAAAATAATTTTGTGCATAGTGAAACCGTTACATATTCCCCTCAACTTCATCTACAGTTTCCTACTACCTACTATTTTCTTACAGTATTTTGCTATACATATCTAATAATTCTCTATTTAAACTCAACGCGCCTCCGCGTCCACCATCCGCATTGCGACTATATACCGCCGGCAACTGCACGAATTCGCCTTGCGCATGACGCTTTGTCGCCGACATCGTTGAGGAATCTGGCAGGATTGTGATATTCGTATTGTCACCAGGAACAATAGTACTATTTGTCTTGACGCCATTGTCATCGTCGTCCAGTTCCTCTTCGGTGTCGGTACACTTGCTCGTTGTAGTGGCCACCGCCGCTTCATTCACATCCAAGTCGAAAAATAAAATGTTGCACTGCTGTAAATTCTGTTCGAATTGCTTTTGGAAGCTATTCGCATCGATCGGTTGCAGCTCTTCACTATCACTTTGTGGTAAATTTAAGAATTCCGCCAAATGATCCACATTTCGTTGTTTCTTCGCCCCACATGTGCTACCTTCCGTGTCTTGCCGCTGTTGCTCTGCTACTTCGGCGCTCTTCACATAGATATTATCACCGATAGTCTCAACGAATTCTCTGTAGGAGCTCACCTCCGTTGCACGCACAAAAGTGCCATCTAATGTTTGGAAACCCAGGCGTATGAGTAATGAGATTTTCGTATTGAAACATTGAAGCCACGCCTTATTCGTCTGATATACGCCCCACTGGCCGTCATCGCCTAAGGCATTCCAGAAATCGAGTATCACATTTTTTGTGAAGTCCACAAGCATTGTTCGTTGCGCATCGGGCCGTAACCGACTGATTGCGTCTAAGTGGCGGAAAGTGATATCTAGTAAATTTGGTGGATGCTTCGAGATGAAAAGTTGCCATTTGTAGATCATTGTCATGAGATTCCAAAGTTTGTCCATGGAGCTTTTATCGAGGCGCATAATTGATGAGGTGGCTATGTCGTTCATCATGAATTTGCAGTGATCAACGGTAAGTAGCTGTGAATTATTGCGTGTCGAGCCGACGATCAGGGAGTCGATGAATTTGGCCTCCAATAGTACGACAGTCACATCGTGAATAACTGTAATATAGAAAATAAAGAGAGAAGATTTGCATTAGGATAACAGTTTTGTTAAAATTAAGCATTTGTTAATTAATTAGTTGTGCAATTAAACTAAAATCCCACAAGCTCAACTAGTAAGACATGATCACCTGATGTCTATTACACCGTGCGATAGTCAATTTTACACACACATGCTAGGGGCCAAATATAGTAAAACTGCTTTTTTAGGTTTTCTCTCTGACGTCAGGACTCTTTTAAAAGACGTTGAAATTTCAAGATTTTGATTAATTTAAAAAATACAGTCGCAGAAAAGGCAGAGATCGGTCGATCAGATTTCTACCTTTTGAAGATATCATCTTAGCCTGCAGTGCCTAGTGAGAATGCCTGTAATGGGGAGGTTATTTAAAAGTTTGTATCTTTTTAAATTATAGCCCCTACAGTAAGCTTTTGGCTTGGCGAAGCTCTATTGTGCTATTTCAGTGTTGTTCTCTCCTACATATTGTTCCTTTCCTAAGCTTTTCCCACATTGTTTTTGTCCCTATTACAAGGAATGGCTCGCGACCGATTGGAGCTGAGGCCGCCGATTTTCTCTCCTCTGTCTCATTCCCCTGTATTACCTTGTGATCTGGAATCTACACCTGTATATTATTGTATTGAGCTAAGGCATAGAGGTTCTCAATGCACTCAAGGTCTTACGATGATTTAATCTCGAAGGTCGATAGTGCCTTGAGTACCGCCTAACTGTGGCTAAGGATTAGAATTCTCTTATTACGGTAACCTCTACATAAGTTAGTCTTTGCTGACCGATTGATGGCGTCGACCTCTTCTTGAGAGATGCTCGGAATATTGCACATGGGCCCGGATAGCCCCATCTCGGGACCGTTTCAAGACTTGTTCGAGCTAATTTCCGGGTACACGACTTCTTCATAGCAACTTCGGTAATAGTTATGGCCCGGATAATTTCGTGACTAGTTGCTAAATACGCCGAAATGATTCCGAACTAGTCACGAAATTGTCCTGAAGGGGTTCTGAAAAAATTGTGAGCTTGTCCTAAAACGACCTCGAAATGGCACGAAATAGCCCCTAACTAGTCCGAAAATGAACCCAAAATATTCCTAAACTGCTCCTGAAATAGTCGTGAACTATCCCAAAATGGTCCTGAAATAGGTGCGAAATGATCCTTGAAATAGTCTTGAACAGGCCCGGAAACGGTCGGAAAAATCGTCAACTTGTCCCAAAATGATCTCGAATAAGTCGTTTAAAGGTCCCCATATTTTCCTTTATAGTCCCAAAATGTTCCCGAACTACCCCCAAAAGGGTACTAAAAAGTCCTGAGCTAGGCCCGAAATGGTCCCGAACTACTCCCATAGTCTGGAACTATGTAGCCCAGAAACGGTTCCCAATTGAACCCGAAACGCTTCGGAAACGATCCCGAACTAGTTGGGAAATAATCCCGAATGGTCCTTAAATATTTTAGAACAGATCCCGAAATGATCAGGAACTAGTCTCTGAAATAGCCCTTAACTAGTCGAAAATTGTTCATTTGTACACACAAGAAGCAGTTACAAATTTTCTGCTGGATTAACGCAAATTTGTCCCCTTACCGAGAGCACTCTAGTCTATTTCAATATCTACCAGCCCTAAAAAACTCTTTATATTAAAGTAAAGCTATAAATCATTGCCGCCGTGGTAAAAAAAAAAGCCGCGGTAAAAGCTACTAACTTCATTTAGTAAAATTAAGTTCAATCACGGCAGCTAGTAGAAGTTCGTAGAGCCGACTATACTAGTCCCAAAATCTTCAGGCCGATTAGCATAACGTCATTCATGCTGAAATGTTAAGAGAGATTAGTTGAGTCGCCCGAATAAGGATTGCCATCACTAAGGAAGGATTCACCTTGGGCATTCTTGTAGACTTTGAAGGTGCTTTCGACAGTACACCTTCGAAGGCTCATATGCCTTCATGGTATGGAGTAGATTATGTGCTGGTAAATTGGATTCGTTCGATGCTCGTATAGAGAGAGGGTCGTTAGGATTCAAGCCGAAGGGGGTCAGTATGCCAGGTGCGGAGTTCATAAGGACTGTCCGCCGGGTAGTGTGCTTTCTCCCTTGCTCTGGTGCTTGGCAATTGACTTCCTCCTGGTCAAACTTAACGACTCTAACATCTACACTTAGGTCTATGCATAAGCCAGTCCCTTCTGTGTCAGTTGTCTGGAGGAAAGCGTAAATAACACTGAATATGATTTATACTTATAGTAAGAATGGGCCGTCCGCTAATCCAACCAAAACGAATATTGCGTTCTTCACTAGAAAGAGAAGGTTGGATGGCCTTGTTCCCCCTGCCCTTAAAGGAGTCACGATTTAAATTTCTTCCGAAGTATAGTATTTAGGTGCAATCTTAGATACATAGTAAACTTTTGTGGAAGCCTCACTTTGAGCAAAAGACCTCCAAACCCTTAAGAGCGCTCTACGCTAAATTTCTATCGCTAAAAATCTGGGTCCAACACATTGAAAGAGAAAGCGGAAGGGTTTTTTAATAGATATGTTATGCTACCCTTGAGTTGTTGTATATTTTTAGAAACAAGCATTATTCATTTAAAGATTCTTAGCGATAGAGATTTACACCCAAATATATACAAAATAATGAACACTTTAACTGCTTTATAAATCGATCTCCTTAAACATATTTTATTCTGAAGTCCATTAGCGTGACGATTTCTAGAATCCCTCTGCTGGCAATGTAAACAAGGGCTGGTTTCTGTAACTCTGAGAAAATGTAGTGTACACCGAGTGCAAAACTCACCGAATAAAATTCAGTGAGTTTTTCGGAAGAGAAGTGTACACAATTTTTACAGCATTTGTGGTATGGGAAATCTGCTTGCAAACTTCGAAGAATGTATGAGTCAAAATCAATCGAAAATACGTGTGGAAGGTTCTGTAGATCATTTATATTAAATCATATATTTAAGGAGTTAGTAGTTTTTCATTGAAAGAAAGATTTTTTTTTGGAAGAAGCAAATTTTATTTTCAATGTGTTTTAACGATTTTCCTAAAAAAATATTTGCTTTCGCCACCATGTACCAAAAAGTTATTTTAACAGAAAAGTGAAGTTAGCAGCTTTTACCGCGGCGATGAAATACTTATACGCGCCCTTTCCAAGCCTATTATCTCTGTGCCTTTCCTCTACTTCTACTATAGCTACATGGGAACTTTCGAGGCGTAGTCTCGAGGTCAATCCCTTCTCTCAAGACTTAAAATTGATGAGGTATGGAAATTTCGACAGTAAGGTAGCTAGAAAGTTTAATTAAACACCTACATAGTACGGGTGTAAATCTATGTCACGGAAGGATAACCGACAAATAATTGCAGCAAACGGCCATTTGGCAAGAAACTCTTTAGAGAAAATTTCTACAAACGTGACGATGCATAAAATAAAAAGCAAGAAATAGGAGTATGTCCACACGGCTTCCGGAAAATAATAATACTGTGGCTTAATATATATACACATATGTATGTACTAAGTATGTATGTATGTACATATGAAGAAATGCAATTATCCTTGCAACAAATGCATGAGACGTTTGACCATTGCAAGGAGTTCTGTATAAATTTAGTAGGTATATTTGTATGAGTGTATATCTGCTTAAGTAATACTAACAGCGCGGCACCAAAGCCTTAAAAGTCAACAAATTGGCACGTTCGCGTGCTGCTTACCATGGACGCGCAAGACGGGCAGGACGCAATATAAGTGGAGGCGCAATTCACGGTGAGCTGTAGCAGAATGAGGTTTACTTGCGTCAAAATGCAACTTGTAGCTGAAACGTCCAACTGTTGGTTCTTTTGACTCTTGAGCTTTTTTTTATGATTTCTGGCAGAACATCTTTTGTCGAGTATATTTGCAATGGGAATGACGCATATGGTCAAAAGGACAGTCCGCATGCGGCATAGCAGAATGCATTCATAATCCGGTCATTAGGTACAAACTGACATATCTACATATGAACATACATACGTACAGATATGTTTGTACTAGGGTTTTTGCGAATATTCGCATTGGCAACTGCGCATTCATTATACCCGAGCGCACTTGTGCACAAGGGTATATTAATTTTGTTCACATAACGGTTGTTTGTAACAGCCAAAACGAATCGAGATAGATATAGTTAACATTCGCATTTGCAATAATCAATGCGGAGCTCTTGCGGATGCGAATGTTGTGCAAGTGGACTGATAAAACGTATATGTATGTACCTGGCAAACAAAATTACAAATTGTAGCCAATGTTTTTTCCTGTGTAGATGCGACGGTACTGTGCCTTTTCGTTTTTTTGTTATTTATTTTTAATCTATTTTGTCCCTTATTTCAATACTTGTCCATTGAAAGTACTTTCTTGTATGTATTACAGGTCAAATTTTTAGGAGCAGAGAATACCAAAAGGATGCAAAATTCACCCTTGTCATTTAACTTGTCGAGGCGACAAATCGCCGAAGGTATTCCCCATAGATTAGGTTAACTAAGTTACGTTGACTGCCAATGTAGGCAGCCAAACTTCAGCTGGAAGGTTCAATGTGATATCACTAGCGGGACCTGATGTGTACCACATCTACCTATTTTTCAGAGTAGACGGTGATGGAGTATTACTTTATAGAAGAACAGCCTTCTTTATATCTCTTAATGCAGCTTACAACATAGTATGGTTCTTCTGCCTAGTATCATTACGACTAGATTGGAGTTTGTCGCAAGAAGAAGAAGAGGTTGCAGGGAAAGGTCCTCGTGATAATCACGACGATTGGTCTCATCTTTCTTGTAAGGGTGTTTTGTGTATCAAATACATGTTTAGGTAGTTTGTACGAATATGTCCATAGCTGTTTATGTGTGCGAATGTTTAATAGCAAACGTGACAACACAAAATCCCAACCACAAACTCACAAAGTGTTACTGTAATAAATGTTATTGCTTTTAATGCGGTTATGGTTTGTTGTTGCTATACTTACTACCAGCTACTATTAGTCATTACTAAG